GATCATCGTATGAGTGACAAATGAACAGCTTAACGGAGCATTTTATTGATTAATATGACTGCGATTTGTTGATTCCAATCAGCATTTTGAGTGACTCAAGGAATTCAAAACTGACCGGTTTTTAACAGTTATTGAATTTTGACAAATTCTTGTGAACAGTAGCTGCTCAAAAATATTAATTTCATCAAACTTTTTTGACGATGGATAAAAAAAGATCAAATTTCATCAACAGCATTGAAAGAAGAAGCAAAAAAATTATTTTCGCCTGTCAATCGCTAATTCTCTCGTCACTCAATATCGTCCACATCATCCGCAAATTCACATCATCTACATCAACTTCAATCGTCTCTCATTCCATGCTCGTCAACTGTCAATTTTCTCTCATTCTCATATTTTCTTATTTATTTATTTATGCGGTCAACTCAACTCAACTTCATATCATCATCGAGACTTGCTTTAATGTGCTCATTGATCTAACGGCTCGATGATTTTTCACGAGAAACGAAGACATTTAAACAGAAGCCTTACAAAGCAGCATAAAATCCGCAAACGTGTCAAAAAGTTTTTATATTCGTGTCCCTTGTGGATGACTTGACATTCATTCAATTTGAATTTGTAACTTCCGAGAATCTAGTCAAGTTCTAAATTTGATTATGTTTGGAGTAAAGTTCTAGGAAATACTCAGTTGAGCATAGCTTCCGCGATATTCTGTTAGGAATCAACAAGTTGTGGTTTGTAACTGAGCAAAGCTCGTGCTCTAATGAATCATTGAAAATTGCATCAAAAATTCTAGATCCAAGCTTCAGTGCCACATACTACATTAAAATTAAGAAGAACAAGATACAGAAAGAGACAATAGTCAAAAAGTAGACAGAAATGTGAATTTAAATTGACAGGATTTGCTGGCAAAAATAAATAAAGACAAAACAAAAGGTAGTCGAGAGATGAAGCAAAGAACAGTAAAGATATGTGACTTTTGTGAATTATTCTTTGTCCAAAAATTTATTGTATTTTGCATATTCTAAAAAATATATAACTTAGCTCCACAATCGATTGTTGTACTCTTCTTGATTATTCTTTGGAATTTCGAACAATATCAAAATCTAGAAATGCACAATAAATTGTCAAGTGGAAGTAAACAAGAAATTGAAGGCACAACAAAAAAAATTCAATTTGAGAAATTCCACATTTTAAAATTAATTAGCAGAAATAAAGAAAAATGTGTATGGCATGATTGCCTGCTTGCTGATGAGTATTGACCGCAAAACCCACAACAACATAGCAAGAACTGGCAAGAACAAAAAAGTATAAAAGTACGGACGAAAGAATTTTTGCATCATTTTAAATAAGAAATAAACTCACACATAAAAGTAAGTGAACGCAAATAAATTAAAATGAGAAGAGTAGAAGAGCAGCAACACAACAAAAGTAAAAAGCAGCTTGAAAAGCTGCCGATTCAAATTCGATCCTTGAGATGTTGTCGATAAATTCCTCGAAAGAAAACGTGATACATGATTTCGACTTTATTTGTTTTTAATATCAATATCAATAACAATAGCAGCAGCAGCAGCAGCAAGCAAGCAAGCTGAATATTTGGTTTTTACTCACAATGCACATTTTTTTGTTCTTCCTTGAATTCGACGAAAACGACGAGAGTGAGTGAGAGAGGAGCAATGATGGCATTATTGTGATAAAAAAAATCTCATTTTGGTTTATGCTTATGCCTTTATGTTGAGGATGAATGTATTGCAAAAGAAAAATATTCAAATTGTTCACTCAAATGCGTGCAATGTGAGCTGAGAGAGGAAGAAGAATAATTAGAAAAAAAGTCAGTAAGAAGCATCAAGAACGGCAACAGAAGCATAATTTATGGTTTCTGTAAATTTATTTAGTTTATGGTAAATGTTTTGTATTAGTAAACTTATCAAACTTGCCTTTAATTCATCCTCTTCTTTTTCAACCACAACACACTTGAAAACAATGGCTTGAATGCAGCTACAGCAAGTACAAAAAACCTGAAAAATTCCACTTTACTTTCCATGTATTAATAAAATTATTACAAGTATTGGAAATATCATGTAAAATGGAAATAACTCGTGTGCATGTGAAGCCGAATCAAAACATTTCATGTATTAGTGGATCAGAAAGTTCTTTGCAAATAAATTCTTGGAAAAAATTCAATTGTGAAATTTGATAAGTTTTTCAGCATAAAAGCAGTTGTGCTTCTCACGAAATCAATTTATTGAGTCAATTAAAATCTACAAAGTAATTTAATGAGCATTAAAAATGGATGTCTACACAATTAGCAGCATCATTATTATTAATTATTACAACAATTCAGTGAGCCATTATGAGCAACAATTGCTTTTTAAAACATTTCAATTAAGCAGATAGTCAAGTGTGAAAAAAATTGCTTTTGTCACTGCGTAAATAAGCTTTTACAAGTGTGTAATACTGGAAATTAATTTCAACAAATAGCAGCAGCATTTGTGTATGTTCGGTATGCTTCAAAGAATTTCCAGCTCTATCTCATTACTTACTCTATAGCTCCTGCTTTTGATATTTTCATTAAGAAAGTAAACAACACACGTTATTAAGCACATTAAATAATAAAACAGAATGTTTTAAAGAAAAAAGTGTTTTACGCTATTAAATTTTCATTTCTATTGATTTTATAAGCTTCTGCCGTTTGCTTTTATCTTTGACTTTATTATCTGGGTTATTAGTGAGCAGTTAAGTAAATTTACACAAGATTTTGAAAACAATTTTTTAATTAAAGTGACGAAATTCAGTGTGAAATGTGTTTCTTATGGATAAATGATATAGATTTAGGCTGAGGTGCTTTATGGATGGGCAAACAGAATTGAATGTTGTCTAAACAAGAGCTTGAAGTCGATATGAAAGAGAATTTAGTTGATTTTAATGCTTTGGATCGCATGTTTTTTGTATTGAGGAGCTAAACTCTTGTATTTGTTGGATTTGAGTCTTAAATTGAATATCAGACATTTTATTGAATAAGAGACTGGATTTTTGGGTACCAAGAACAAGACGGGAAGTTTTTGGATTTACTTATTTATGTTGTATCTTGTGAATTATGATTTATTGAGAAATTAGGAAAACTTGACTTAAAGTTGAACTTTTTTGAGTGACAGAAAAAATTAAATTGACGTTCTAGTGACGTGCTTTCGCCACTTGATCTTCATACTAAGTCGCCATCACGTAAAGTTGAAATCTTGATGCTTTGGCTAGTTTTTGAATGCTTAAATTAGATTTGAACTTAAATGATTTGCAAAGTTTAAGAGAAATTGAGGAAATTTATGAAATTAAGCTTCAAATCCCTTCCTTCATCCCCTATAACCTCAAAACATAACAGCCAACAAACAAATTCAACTTAAATTGTCACCTTTAATGTCATTCCATAATAATATTTGCAATACAGACCCTCCAATCTACTTCTCAATTGTCACCCATCTAAATTTTAAATTTTTTATAAAAACAATTTAACGCTCTTATCAAGAAAAAAAAATAAAATAAAAAGTTGAAAGAAATTACAAAACAAAAGGTGAACAAGAAATAAAAGCAAAAAAAAATTTCTTATTCATAGAATATTTTAAAAATAAATGAAAACAATTGTCATCAAAAAAAAAGAGAGCAGCAAATGGCATCTCTTTTGCTGATAAGTAAGAATTGATAAAACAAAGACACGATGTAATGTAATGAAAGTGAAAATTGGACTAGAAAAAGTGGGAAAAAAATTTTCTTTCATTTTTTATTATGTTCATTGCATTACTTTTGATGTCACACAAAAGAAGGAAGATTGCAGATATTTAGATGAAATTGTCGATTTTGAAGAACAAAAAAAATTATCTTTGAATTGAACATGATGATAAAAAGGAATGAGTGGGTCAAGACTTTATTTTCACATTATTTGTAAGTTTGCTGCCTGCTGAATAAACATTTAGATAAGAATGGAAATTCCTTCTTTTTTCGATTACCGAAGAGATTTTTTGTCTTAGATAAATTTTTTTTCTGCTCTCTTTTTTATATGCTCGAGATTCGAGTGAAACCATCGACAATTTATTTAAACTAATTACCCATTAAATATTTTTTTGAATCCGCTTCTCAATGAAGATGAAGAAACCGAAAAGGAATTGCATTGAATAATATCGTAGACGAGTTTACAGCGTTGGAAATGGTTGGAGCGCATTTTTGAAGAATCTGTTTAATTTTTTAATATTTTAATGATTCAGCGTAGCTTTAAATAAGATGCAAGGTTATGTTGGTAATCACTGGACTATCCCTACTTGAGAGAAGTTCTATAATTTATGACTAAACCTCCCTCATAGTTTTTGGATGTCTTTAAAACGACCTCTTAATGAAAATATTCAAAAAGACCTCATTTCAAATCTTAAGGCTCCTAAAATTCATTTTTGAAAAAAAAAAATTCTTATATAAAAACAGCGCTGTGTTGGTTAAAAGTCATTTATCCACTGAATTTGACTTATGATAGCCTAGTGCCAGATTTTTCCAACTTATGATATACGAAAAATTCCAAAATTCATTCTAAAAAGCAACTGATTCAAGTTATAATAATTTTGAACCACTGCACATTCAATTACAAAATGTCATCTATTCAAACTAGTCCGCCAGCATTTTAAATTGAATGAAAATTCACAAAATCTTTTTAACTCTGACTATCACAAATCTCTCGTAAAAGAAGCTTGAAGATTATATTTATTGCCAATGAATTGATAAGAAATGTGAGGTGAGATAAAGTAGAGGAAGGAGAAAAAAAAATCAGACACTTGAGTGCATAAAAATGTGAAAAAAAAAATCCACAAACATAATTTTTATCCATCTCCTGCTATTTTTTCAATCGATATCTGCTCTCTTTCGAACTTCTCGAGAACCACATATAACCACTGTCATTAATCTTATCCTTCTTTATAACATTATGTGCAATATTTCATGTGCTATTCTCCATTTCATTCTCATTCCAGACGAAGGTGAAGAGGGCGTAAATCTAAATGAAAATAATGATGCCCAGAAGGATGAATTGTCAACAGGATCAGCAAGTCCATCATCAAGTAATTCCTTGGAGGTGCCAGAAGTACAAACAACCACAACATCATCATTAATCAAATCTAAAGCAACAATTCCACGATCGAAAGATGCTCGTAATCGTCTCGCCACACAATCAGCAGCTGCTGCTGCATTTTTATTATCGTCATGCCGTCAACAATCAAATGAATCACCATCGCACGATGATTTAGAGCAAAACATACCTGTCACATTAATTGATCATGAAACCGGACTCAAACGGTAAGTTGGTTTTGAATTAAGCAGATCTTGTCTTCAGTATACGTGATTTGCCATTAATAAATCGCGATGCAGATAGCTTGTTAGCTGCAAAAAATAATGTTAATATCCTGTTCAACAAGAAATCCATATCGGAATCATCTATTTTCTCTTATCTACATACATCTTTCTACTGTGCGGTTCATGAGCGTAATATGCATCAGTTAACTTTATTTCTATATTGAATTTTTACGATGCTTATTATGTGACGGGATATTAAAGTGAAATCAAGAGGTGGTAACTGAATCGGAGTTGTATGTCAGTGTAGTTATGGAATGTAGAGTGCTAATTGAGTACTTAAGTGTTGAATAGTCTTATTTATGTTTTTTTAAGTGCAACAGAGTGCCGTGGCACACATATTATTTAGCACTAGCTTTAAAGCGAGCCTTGCGGGGTCTCATCAGCTTTATCTAGAGCTCATACCCTAGTTTTGATGATCCATAACAAAGTATGTATCCAGAATGATAACATATTCTTGATTTCCATGAGCCATCTCCAAATCTCATGATTAAATATGAGGAATAAACCCGATTACTCATATGAATATTCAAGGGTATTAAGGATTATTTGCCATGATCGAAGACTATTGTCATTACAGTTGCTAACACCAATAATCATCAATAATGAATAATCATATCCAACTACAATAACAATACATCAATTCACAATGGAATTTCATAAAAATATTTCTTATTTATTTATTTATTACCACAACAAAAAAATATGATCATTTTCATTAGACATGTCCATAAGAGTACAAAAAACAGTATATCCTAATCAATTAATGTGTAGAGACGGATGAGAAGTAGAAGAAGTCTTGAAATGCTTACGATATGAGAAATAATAATTCATTAATGTACACAGAAGTAGCATCAAAAAACCTATTTAATTAATACAGCCATAAATTTCTTGTTTCTCATTTAGAGGTTATGGCATATTATGAAAAAAAAATATGATTGATCCGACAATGAGTGGATGGTAATGGAATGGAGAAAATCTTTTAGTAATGTCCCTCATGCCCCGTGTCAGGATTGTAGCTAGAATTGATTGGATCTCTTGAGGGGTGTCGGGATTTTTTTTGTATAAAATGCAATGTCAGATAGGGTTTGGACTTACTTGGAAGGTTCCTTGACTTTGCATATGCTCATATGGGGGTTCAGACCTCATTTATGATTAAAATTAGTATTGGAAAAAGACCCACTTGAAAAAATTCACGGCAACACGCGTGTCATATCCCCCTGCCCCAAATTAATATGTGTTTGTCTTTGTCAGAAGATATGGCACTAAAAAAGGATATTTATGAATACCTCTATTTATTACTTTTAGACACAATTCCTTATTGCTATTATAACAAAAAAGATCCCTCACTATAAGCATAAATATCAATCTCTCTCATTTCCTCTTTTGTTTTTTTTTCTTTCCATCCAATTCCTCCCCCATCATCATTCAATAAATTTTATTCTCTTATGCTTCACCTAGCATCGCACTCATTCCATTCATATATTCATTACTTTTATGATTATTTGAATGATTAAAAGATCTTAATTTATGGATGATGAAATGAAATAATGGGCCCGAGAATGAGAATAAAAACCGAATAATACGGAAAGAAATGAATGCTTTGGATGGGCATATACTGCAAAGTGAAAATGTTGATGATAACAATAAATTATGTTTATGGATTTAGATTTTCTTTTTTTTTGGCTGATGTGGAAGATGAGAACATTGACTTTTATGGCAAAATAGTTTACTGTCGTGTATATAAATGTGCAATTCAGCAAGAAATACGCTAAAAAAAGAAGGGAGGTGAAATTAAGTCAAGAAAATTGTTGTTTATGTGTGCACACAAGAGGGACATAAAGGCAATTTTATGTGCGTGCATAATGGAACTAGTGAGGGAAGAATTTTAATTGTGTATCAACTGTCGCTTTAATATGATTAGTGGGGAGCATTCTAAAATGATGTCAACTGAAATGAAACTTCTACTGCACTATTAAAATATTTATTTTTGGGTGGAAGTTTTATTTGTCTTGTTTTTAATTTTAAAGCTACAATTTCAAACTCTAGAGCCTTTTTAAAGTCCAGACGTTGTCTTTAGTTCCTGTTTTGTCTTGGAATTGTACATTAAGCAGTTAACGAATCTCAGCTTTTAAAAATTTACCAAAATTAGATTACCAGGATTCGAACTTACAGCTTTCGAGCTGCCGTAATGAATCAAAGTTAAATGCTTTGCTAATTACTATACAGGGGGCTCTTTCATGTTCAAATCAACCTTACAAAAATTCACATAGATTTTACAACTTGGACAGTGTATAATGACAGACGTAAGTAAGAAGTCCATTTAGGGTAATTATTGAAAGGCCTAAAACATTAAGATATCCCAAAAAAGAAAGAACTACTAGGCGAGGGTCAAAAAAAGCCCCAAAAAATAAAACTTTATAATTGACATCATTAACAACCATCCCCTTAGCTAGTTTTCATTCCTGTCAGCCGTCAAAAACTTTCATCAAAAACAAGAAAATTGCAATAAAAAAAAATAATTTCGCCTCCATAAATATCTGTCGCCAGTTGTGATTCATTTCTTAGAATTGCAAATTCAAAGTCGTTATATATTTTATGGCAAATTTATGTGATACAACAACAGCAAGAAACTAACTTAAATGAACGTCATAAAAACTCACATAACATATAAATATTCGCATCATAAGATTATGAAAGTTTGATAAGAAGGCAAATTTATGCAAGCCTAAATTCCATCAATATTTATTCAAACACTCAGCATGGATATAATCTTTCTGTACATTTTCTCCTTTCAACACCCTTCAATCCGAAATCCAAAATATTCTTTGATTCCATGTGTATCAGCCATAAAGCGTCTCAGTCATGTAAAGCAATAAATATTTCCTTTCATCTAAACAACAGAAGTACATATGAGTAAAAAAAATTGCTTTTTTCGCTTTCATGCATCCTTCAGTTCCACAAAAACAAAATATATAAAATAAAAAGAACATTCATCGCGTACTCACATAAGTTTTGTATACATGCTAACTTGCTGTGTGTGTGATAAGTATCGGCATAAACATAAAATAAGAAATGAGCGTAGAAAAGAGATGGAAAAAAATATATATTGAAGCTACAGCAGCACAAAATAAATAGCATTAAATGTAATAATTTTCCCATTCCATCGAACATATCTGCAAGTTGACTGTAGATGAAACTTAGTTTTGTTTTAGTGACATACACAGAAAAATAAAAATCTCTCTCAAAAACATCAAATTTGTACGTGGCAGCTAGAACAAAAAAACTGTTGTAGAATGGAAGGGAAGTGAATATTGCACAAGGGGATCATTATTTACGTGACATATTTAAAAATTACTGTGTATCCCTCCAACAAATTTATTTTCACTACCTCACTCCTTCTCATTCCTTTTTTTTGCCGTCTGTTCTGTGTATTTGATTCACTTTCGTCCTTTTTTTTGCGCAATTTATGTTTATCACATCGCAACAACGGACTTAATATTCTTATTCAAGTATTTATGAGTTTGTATATCCCATAAACACAAACAATTTTGAGGGAGTTGAGAATAGCTGAGTGACTGGTTGTGTGGATGACGACGATAATGATGATGATGACTATAAGCTAGGGATAGTTTGATTCTGACGTCTTAAAATCCATTCTGGCTGTAGACAGAAAGAGTTTGTTAAGGATTTATGGACATAGATCTCATAGCCGGCCATAACAAAAAATTAAGAACCCCTCCTTATTGAAAAGTGTTTGATTTCGTCCCTGAATCTATGTCTACATCTGATAATATTGGCTCACTACTCTGAGTACTGCTCTTCTTCTCAGGGATGTAACCTGACATTTTTTAAAAAGATCTGAAATTTTTTCTGTCCTCTTGTACACCCCTTGAATTGAATAATACATCAATTATTATACACTTATAAAAATTAATTGTGACTAAGGCAGGGTAGGGCAGGTAGAGTAGCGCTATAAACTGATTGTAGATCCCTCAAATGAAAAAATGGGAATAGACATAGACGTAGTCATGGATAAGGCCACTCGGATAGTTCTTGAAACAATCAAAAAATAGAACCAGCTCTAGATACCAAAAATCCCTCCCAAAAATTAGACATCATCACAATACGACCCCCCTAATTCTCCTGCTATGTAAATATTTTCGCACACATAAAAAACTATTTATATAAAGTCAAGTAAAATTCTTGCAGCACTCAAATCAAGCATAAGGAGGAAAAGTCACAGTAAAGTTTTACTAAAAAGCTTAAAAGATTAACTACGAAAATGCTTCTTGCAATGCGAGAGTGACAGAAAAATTCTTTTTGACATGACATTGAGTTGCACAAAGTTCATGTCTTGTGAAAATTGCACATTTCTCTATAGAGTTTTATGTGCCATCAAGAGAATACCAAGTGACTGAAGTGAAGTGCATGAAAGAGAATTATTAATCACAGTATAGTGCTTTATATATATTTTTAAGCAAATAAATTCCATGGCATGAGAGGAGTTTTCTTACCCATTCTGTCTTGAAAAAAATTTCCCTATTTTTTTTTTGTTGTCTTCAGTCTACAATGTATGCATTTTGTTGACATGACAAGTTTATGAGACATGTGACACTTTTGAATATTGCAGATGGAAAATGTCTCTAAGCTATTTTGACTTTCAAATGTTTCATTCTCGTAAGGAATAAGTACAAAGGTTGCATGACTAGAATTGATTCAATAATGGTCAATGTAGTATTAGCAAACATCATGTAAAGTCTTTGATAGACTGAAAATTTGAAATTTGTGTATGTTATGAACATGAAGTTGTTAAATAAGGTTTGGGAATACTGAGGACGTTACTTGGAGGAGCTGACGATGGGTAGATGCAAAATATGAATCATTTCTATATTTTATGAAGGAACTGAGGAAAGCTCTGCATCTAGAGTCCCTTAAAATTGCTC